AGATTTTGAAAGGGCTTTGAGGTTATTTGTCCAAGATCATGATAACAGAGATGGTTTTCAGAATAAGATCTAACTTCAAAGCGTTTCGTCTTTGTCTTTCCATTTTGTCTCCAACCATGAAAATGGAAAGACAAGAATGTTTATATAATCTTTTAAATTGTCTTCTAATATACTGAATGGGTTATGTGTAGAAAACAAGTGAGAATATAAAATTGGTCTTGCTGTAACAACTTACAGCCTTTTCCCCCATTGTAGGGACTCTGAGATCATGCAACAAAAGCAGAAGGCAGCTAATGAGAAGAAGTCTATGCAGACAAGAGAAAAATGATGACTGGCTATTTGGAAAACCTGGGTGCTACTGCCAACTGGGTGTATCATAAGCTCTAACTTCAAGACTTTGTAGAGTGGATAGTCATTAAATATGTTTTATCCTTTAAAAACTATTTTGAACTTTACCTTTCAGTTTGACTTAGTGCAATGTTTTAGAAGCAGTCTTCAAAGAATAAAACACTACATGCATGTGGCATATTGGTGAACATGATTTTTATTAGTTAACATTTATATATAATTTATTAGGTAATATGATCAGATAATAGGATCTCTCATATAATAAAGATTCTTTGTCATCAGCTTTGTTAATGTAATTTTTTTTCTTCCCTCAGTTTCTAAGGATAAGCATAAAGTAGATCTTTAAAGTAAACTTTATTGTATAATAGAAGCTAAGAACAATTTGTGTAATTTTGCTTTGAAATCAACTTACAGGACCAGGCTCAGTGACTCATGCTTGTAATCCCACTACTTTGGGAGACCAAGGCAGGCGGATCACCTAAGATCAGTAGTTTGAGACCAGTCTGGCCAACATAATGAAAGCCCACCTGTACTAAAAATAAAAATAAAAAAATTGGGCTGGGCACGGTGGCTCACACCTGTAATCCTAGCACTTTGGGAGGCTGAGGTGGGTGGATCACCTGAGGACAGGAGTTCAAGACCAGCCTGGCCATCATGGTGAAACCCCATCTCTAAAAACAAAATTAAAATAAAAAAAAAAATTAGCCAGGTGTTGTGGCACTTGCCTGTAATCCCAGCTACTCAGGAGCCTGAGGCAGGAAGATCACTTGAACCCAAGGCAGAGGTTGCAGTGAGCAGAGATCGAACTACTGCACTCCAGCCTGGGCAAGAGAGTGAGACTCTGTCTCAAAAGAAAAGAAATCAACTTACAAAGCTTGCTTGAAGAATTTACAGCAGATGATATAAACCACGGAATAGAAACTAAATGGATGTAAACTGAGATCTCAGTTCTACTTATAGCTTTAACATTTTTTGGAATGAATACCATATTTTCTGTCCTCGGCCTCTTCTAAAACTTGAGTCTTGATGGTAGTTATAAATTTGGAAATATGTATCCTGGAGAAGCAAGGTTTGAGACCTTGTTACATTCTGAAGTAAATGCAAAATTACGTCAAAGAGAATAAAAATGCCATTGTAGTAGTAAATAGGATAACTTTTAAGTATTCTACAAATAGTTGATTTTTCACATAATGTAACTTAACAAATTTTTCTGATCATCCAATATGTCAGCCACTATCTGGACAGATCTTGAAGAGCGAGCCTAATATAATGTCTTGTGACTTGTCTCTTACCAGTGGTACCACCCATAAATAGGCTGGAATCTTACGTGTCTAATATTGAATGAGACAACTATGAAGTTTTTTGGTTTTGTTTTGTTTTTTTGAGACTGAGTCTGCTCTGTCACCCAGGCTGGAGTGCAGTGGATGCCATCTCAGTTCACTGCAACCTCTGCCATCTGGGTTCAGGTGATTCTTCTGCCTCAGCCTCCTGTGGAGCTTGGGAGTACAGGTGTATGCCACCACACCCAGCTACTTTTTTTTTTGAGATGGAGTTTTGGTCTGTTGCCCAGGCTGGAGTGCAATGGTGTGATCTCGGCTCACCACAACCTCTACCTCCTGGGTTCAAGGCATTCTCCTGCCTCAGCTTCTCGAGTAGCTTGGATTACAGGCATGCACCACCATGTCTGGCTAATTTTGTATTTTTAGTAGAGATGGGGTTTCTCCATGTCAGTCAAGTTGGTGTCAAACTCTCAACCTCAGGTGATCCACCCGCCTTGGCCTCCCAAAGTGCTGTGATTACAGGTGTGAGCTACTGCACCCGGCTAATTTTTATATTTTTGGTAGAGACAGGGTTTCACCACATTGGCCAGGCTGGTCTCAAACTTCTGACTTCAGGTGATCCACCAGCCTCCTCCTCCCCAGCTCTATAGCTGGAGTTACAGACATGAGCCATCCCACCCAGCTGAAATTTTTTAGTCTGAGTTTTTATCTTCATATTGGTCTAGATTTTTCATTAAATTAATACATTGTTCTGGATCTTGGGTTAACTTTAGTCTTCAGAATATTCTATGATGGTAGAATAAAGGCAAAAAGATTAAAAAGCAGCTTAAGTTACACTGTAATAAAAGGAATAATGAAGATTATTCTATTACTGTGTATACAGTATACATACACAATATACGATAATGATTGTACTACAAAGATTCTTTGTGGATCTAATATCTGTAATTCTGTCTCCAGAATTTCTACAGAGCAATAAGCCATAAGCACAAAAAAATTTCTCATGATTTAAGCTCTTTTCTTTGCTTTTTTGTTTTTTTTTTTTAAATGAATAATTTCTGTAGTTTAAAATATCCTGTGGAGTGGAAGAACTTTAGACCCTTTAATTCTTATAAATTGAGGGAAAGCTAAAGTTTCCAAAATAACGTGGAATATTAGAATAAGGAAGATCTCAATGAACTAATCAATCATTAATACTATTTTTTTTTTTTTTTTTGAGAGAGAGTCTTGCTTTGTCACCCTGGCTGAGTACAGTAGTATGAATATGGCTCACTGCAGCCTCAACCTTCTGGGCTCAAGTGATCCTCCTGCCCTCAGTCTTGTCTCCCAAGCAGTTGGGACTACAGACACCCACCACCACACCTGGCCGATTTTTGTATTTTTTGTAGAGACAGGGTTTTGCCGTGTTGCCTAGGCTGGTCTCAACCTTCTGAGCTCAGGTGATTGACCCCGACCGCCCTGCAAAGTGCTGGGATTACAGGTGTGAGCCACCATGCCTAGCCATTCTATTAATTATTATTATTATTATTATTTTTTGAGACGGAGTTTCGCTCTTGTTACCCAGGCTGGAGTGCAATGGCGCGATCTCGGCTCACCGCAACCTCCACCTCCTGGGTTCAGGCAATTCTCCTCCCTCAGCCTCCTGAGTAGCTGGGATTACAGGCACATGCCACCATGCCCAGCTAATTTACTGTATTTTTAGTAGAGACGGGGTTTCACCATGTTGACCAGGATGGTCTCGATCTCTCGACCTCGTGATCCGCCTGCCTCAGCCTCCCAAAGTGCTGGGATTACAGGCTTGAGCCACCGCACCCGGCAAAACCCCGTCTTTAAAAAAAAAAAAAAGAAAAAGAAAAATTAGCTGGGCATGGTGGCACATGCCTGTAGTCCCAGCTACTCAGGAGGCTGAGGCAGGAGAATTGCTTGAACCCAGGAGGCAGAGGTTGCGGTGAGCCGAGATTGTGCCATTGCACTCCAGCCTGGGCAACAAGAGTGAAACTCCATCTCAAAAGAAAAAAAAAGAAAATCTGGGAAAAATACAATAAATTCTAAATTTCTGTAAATTCTAAATAGCACTGCTTTGAAAATTCCTTGGGCATTTATCCCAGTGAAATGATAATAAACAGCCAACATCTGGAATGTATATTTCAATGACTCGAATATAAATACTATGTTCAGATCACAGTAAAGGACAGTTCTAGCACCCTCTTAGATAATGCCTCTCATCTGACTATCACCATAGATTAGTTTTGCCTGTTATTGAATGTTACATAAATGGAATCACACAGTATGTGCTGTAGTGAGTCTGGCTCCACTTGCTCAACATTGTGTCTGCAAGAATCCTCTATTTTGCTGCTACACAGCAGTTCAGCCTTTTTCACTGCTGTGTAGCATTGTTATATGAATATACTATAATTTAGTTACTCTACATTTCATGGACATTTGAATTGCTCCCACTTTGGGGCTGTTATGAATAATAATGCCATAAATTTTTATATATCTTGTGATGGCCTTAAACACTCATCTATTGAATATATACACAGCAGTGGAATTGCTGGGTCATAGGATTTGTGTCTATAGACATACATACACACACACATTTTTTAGTAGGTACCATCAAACAATTGCATCTTCGTTGTTTTTGTTTTAGTTTGTTTTTAATGACCATACAATTTTACCACCAGCAACAAATGAAGGTTCCATTGCTCCACACTAGCATTAGGTATTGTCAGACCTTTTATCTTTAACCACATTGGTGGGAGGTAGTCATATGTCATTGTGGTCTTAATTTACTTACATATACCTTTTTTTTTTTTTTTTTTTTTTTTTTTTGAGATGGAGTTTCACTCTTGTTACCCAGGCTGGAGTGCAATGACGCGATCTTGGCCCACTGCAACCTCCGCCTCATGGGTTCAGGCAATTCTCCTGCCTCAGCCTCCCGAGAAGCTGGGATTACAGGCATGCGCCACCATGCCCAGCTGATTTGTTATATTTTAGTAGAGACGGGGTTTCACCATGTTGACCAGGATGGTCTTGATCTCTTGACCTCGTGATCCACCCGCCTGGGCCTCCCAAAGTGCTGGGATTACAGGCGTGAGCCACCGCGCCTGGTCTACTTACATATACTTAATTTAAATACACTCAGTTTATATACACAACACATATACTCTCTCAGCCTTCAATAAGCCAGTCTCATTCTCCTGAGTTAACTACTGTTAATAATTGTATACTTCTCTCAGTGCTCATGCAAACATGCACACACACACATACACATAAATAAGGGATATGGGAGTGTATTTGATTCTGAGAGCTGCTGTAACAAATTACCACAAATTTGGTGTCTTAAAACAACAGAAATATTTCTGTTGACAGTTTTGGAGGCCAGAAATCTGAGAGAAAGGTGTCAGCCGGGCCACAACTCCCTCTGAAGGCTCCAAGGGAGAATCCTTGCTTGCCTCTTCCAGCTGCTGGTGGCTCCAGGTATTACTTGGCTTATGGCAACTTAACTCCTATCTCTGCCTTTGTCTTTGTGATTTTCTGTTCTATCTTCTTTCCTTCTTTTTATGACGACTTTTGTTATTGGATTTAGGTTCCATTCTAACCTAGGATGATCTCATCTGGAAATCCTTAATTGCATCTACAAAAACCATTTTCCCAAATAGGTTACATTCACGGATATCAGATGTATCGTTTTGGGGTCTGGTGATTCAATCCACTACAAGGAGTTTTTTAAACAAAAATAGGAAACTTCGATGTAACTTAGCACTTTATATATATTTTTTAAAATGGAGTCTCGTTCTGTTGCCAGGCTGGAGTGTAGTGACGTGATCCTGGCTCACTGCAACCTCCGCCTCCCTGGTTCAAGTGATTCTCCTGCCTCAGCAGCCTGAGTAGCTGGGACTACAGGCACCCACCACCATGCCCAGCTAATTTTTGTATTTTTAGTAGAGATGGGCTTTTACCATGTTGGCCAGGATGGTCTCAATCTCTTGGCCTTGTGATCCACCCACCTCAGCCTCCCAAAGTGCTGAGATTACAGGCATGAGCCACTGCACCTGGCCATAATTTAGCACTTTTAAAAATAACCACATTGGGCCAGGCACAGCAGTTCATGCCTGTAATCTGAGCACTTTAGGAGACCAAGGTGGGTGGATCCCTTGTGCCCAGGAGTTTGAGACCAACCTGGGCAACATGGCAAAACCCTATTTCTACTAAAAATACAAAAATTCGCTGAAGGGAGGGGATAGGCCAAGTTCCGGGCCTGAGAGGGCCACTAGGGAGAGCATAGCATAGTGGCTAAAGGACCTTGCCCAGAAGCTGGACCCAGAGGAGTTTAAACAGAAGATGCACAAGGCCGGGCACGGTGGCTCAAGCCTGTAATCCCAGCACTTTGGGAGGCCGAGGCGGGTGGATCACGAGGTCAAGAGATCGAGACCATCTTGGTCAACATGGTGAAACCCCGTCTCTACTAAAAATACAAAAAATTAGCTTGGCATGGTGGCACGTGCCTGTAATCCCAGCTACTCAGGAGGCTGAGGCAGGAGAATTGCCTGAACCCAGGAGGTGGAGGTTGCGGTGAGCCGAGATCGCGCCATTGCACTCCAGCCTGGGTAACAAGAGGGAAACTCCGTCTCAAAAAAAAAAAAAAAAAAAAAAGGCCGGGCGCGGTGGCTCAAGCCTGTAATCCCAGCACTTTGGGAGGCCGAGGCGGGTGGATCACAAGGTCGAGAGATCGAGACCAACCTGGTCAACATGGTGAAACCCCGTCTCTACTAAAAATACAAAAAATTAGCTGGGCATGGTGGCGCGTGCCTATAATCCCAGCTACTCAGGAGGCTGAGGCAGGAGAATTGCCTGAACCCAGGAGGCGGAGGTTGCGGTGAGCCGAGATCGTGCCATTGCACTCCAGCCTGGGTAACAAGAGCGAAACTCCGTCTCAAAAAAAAAAAAAAAAAAAAAAAAAAAATTATACTACGTATGTATATGTGAGCCATTTGGCAACCCTAGGTGCTTAATAAAGAATACTGCTGGAGGCTGGGCACGGTGGCTCACACATGTAATCCCAGCATTTTGGGAGGCTGAGGTGGGTGAATCACCTGAGGTTAGGAGTTCCAGAGCAGCCTGGCCAACACAGTGAAACCCCAACTCAACTAAAAATACAAAAATTAGCCAGGTGTGGTGGCAGGCGCCTGTAATGCCAGCTACTCAGGAGGCTGAGGCAGGAGAATTGCTTGAACCTGGGAGGCAGAGGTTGCAGTGAGCCAAGATCCTGCCACTGCACTCCAGCCTGGGTGACAGAGCAAGATTCTGCCTGGAAAAAAAAAAAAATTATATATATACACACACACACACACACACACACACACACACACACACACTGGAGGCTGGGCAAGGTGGCTCACGCCCGTAATCTTAGCACTTTGGGAAGCTGAGGCAGGTGGATCACTTGAGGTCAGTAGTTTGAGACTAGCTTGGCCAACATGGTGAAACTCTTGTCTCTATTAAAATTACAAAAATTAGCGGGGCGTGGTGGCGGGCGCCTGCAAGGCTGAGGGGGGAGGATCGCTTTACCTCGGGAGGTCAAGGCTGCAATAAGCCGAGATGACAATGGCGCCACTGTACTCTTGCGACAGAATGGGACCCCATCTCAAAAGAAAAAACAAGAAATGCCGGGCGCTGTGGCTCACGCAGGTAATCCCAGAATTTCGGGAGCCCGAGGTGGGCGGATCATCTGAGTGGGGGAATTCGAGACGAGCCTTACCAATATGGAGAAACCCCGTCTCTACTAAAAGCACAAAATAAAGAAAAAAGAAATTGGCCTGGCGTGGTGGCGCATACCTGGAATCCCAGCTACTTGAGAGGCTGAGGCAGGAGAAATGCTTGAACCAGGAAGGCGGAGCTTGCGGTTAGCTGAGAACGCGCCATTACACTCCATCCTGGGCAACAAGAGCCAAACTCCTTCTCAGAAAATTAAATAATTAAATTAAGTTAAGATTGGGAAATATAACACCGTGAAATGAAAGGTTTGAGAGAAAACACTCCACAAAGGTGGGAGGGCGATAACCACACGTAAAAAGCGTGAGAAGTTACTACAAGTGGCCCTCCAGGCCACCGTGCTGTTCCGCTCCCAGAAGCCCCTTGGGCGGAAGTCGTTTTAGAAGGGAGGGGCCCCACGCCGCGTACCAGCGGGTTTGCTATGGCGATGAGCAGCGGCGGCAGTGGCGGCGGCGTCCCTGAGCAGGAGGATTCCGTGCTGTTCCGGCGCGGCACCGGCCAGGTGAGGTCGCGACCAGTGTAGCCTCACTATTGGCGCTCTCACCACGCTCCTTCCCCAGCCGCGGGACAGCATCAACTGGATCCGCTCACTGGAGTTGTGGTCGGCGTTCGCCTCCGTCTTTTCCCACTTCTTTCGCTGCGAACCGCATCTATAAGCTTCCTCGAGCAGTTTCGGCGCCTTGATGGCTTTGAGTCGAGGCCCTGTCGCGACTTAGCTGTAACTTATTTTGTCTACTCCTCTCTGGCGGGTGTGAGGGAGGTGGGGGCATTAGGCCAGGGTGAAGCTGGGAAACCAGTTAGGAGTCTGTTAAAATTATCCGAACTTTAGATCAAGATGTTAACAGAGTTAAAAGTGTTTGGATTCTGGATATATTTTGAAATCGGAGGCAACAGATTTTTCAGATAGATTCGATGATGGAGGTTTTCCTGAATAGTTGAAAAGATAAAGTTGATTTTTACTGAGATGTGCTGAGATGGGAAAGAGAAGATTGCCGGTAGAGCAGGTTTCTCAGGAGTTCAGTCTTGGGCATAGCATGGGGGGGGATGAATTTGGAGTGAGAGTAGGAGAAGAGAAATTCAACGCAAAATTTGACCAGCCTGGGCAACGTAGTGTGACCCCCAAGTCTGCAGAAATTAAAAATACAAAAACTAGATGGGCTTTGTGGTGCTCGCCTGTGTCCCCAGCTACTTGAAAGGTTGAGGCCTTGGAAAGCTCAGAGAGCTGGAGGCTGCAGTGAGCTGTGATTGTGCCACTGCACTCCAGCCTGGGCGACTGAGCCAGACCCTGCCTTAAACAAAAACATCTGTAGACATATAAGGGAATTTTATTTAAAAAAATTTTTTTTCGGCCGGGCGCGGTGGCTCAAGCCTGTAATCCCAGCACTTTGGGAGGCCGAGGCGGGCGGATCACAAGGTCAAGAGATCGAGACCATCCTGGTCAACATGGTGAAACCCCGTCTCTACTAAAAATACAAAAAAGTAGTTGGGCATGGTGGCGCGTGCCTCTAATCCCAGCTACTCAGGAGGCTGAGGCAGGAGAATTGCTTGAACCCAGGAGGCGGAGGTTGCGGTGAGCCGAGATCGCGCCATTGCACTCCAGCCTGGGTAACAAGAGCGAAACTCCGTCTCACAAAAAAAAAAAAAAAAAAAAAAAAAAAAAAAAAAAAAAATTATTTTTTTTTTTAGAGACAAAGTCACTCCCTGTTGCCCAGGCTGGAGTGCAGTGGCTAATCATAGGTCATTGCAGCATTGATCTCTTGGCCTCAAGCGACTCTCCTGCTTCAGCCTTTGGAGTGACTGGGTCTAAAGGAGTGAGCCACCACGAAATTTTATTATAAATGGAGAGTAGAGAAATCGGGCAATAAATGGAGGGGGAAGTGTGTTAAGAGGGATTTTAATGTGTGTGTGTATGTGTGTTTAAAACAGCATCTTGCTTTTTTGCCCGGATGCAGTGGGACAATCGTGAATCACTGCAGCCTTGAAATCCCGGATCCTTTCACCTCTGCCTTCCAAAGTGCTGGGATTACTGGTGTGAGCCATTGCACTAAGATGGGAGCAACATGTTTCAGCATGTTTGTGGATTGATAAGAAAGATAAGAATAGGAAAATTGATGTCAGAAAGAGAATTGCAAGAACAATGTCCTCGGGTAGGTAAGAAGGGATGGATTTGGCCTTTGTTGAAAACATTACTGGTTCTTGTGGTGACAGCTATATAGTTACACATATGTGATATGTGAATGGGCAGATATGATGGCAGGAGAGTGTGAAAGTTCTCTTGATTTTTACTGTTCTCTTAGTAAAAGAAGCAAGGTTATCAGTTAGGATGCTAGGATGGGAGAGGAGAGAGAAGATGGGAAGTAGATAGTTCTTTAGAAGAAGGGGCAAGGGTTAGTCTAGGACAGTTCAATGGAAATGTTGCTAGGCAACGTGAAGGCCTGCTAGAGATTTGTGGCCATGAGTTGAAGGAGACCAGATAGCAAGATCGTATATGAGGACACCCACAGAGTAAATGGAGAGTTGAAATTCATACGGTTGTAGTTTTACCACGTGGATATGAAGAAGTGAGGGGGGAAGTACAAATGAGTTATCTTAATGATTGACCATGGAATTTTTTTTTTTCTCTGAAGTGAATGAATTGAACCAAAGACCATGGAATTTAAGCTGGCTAAGAAAGGAAATGAGGACTTTAAGACCCTGAGAGACAGTTTAAAAAGTGGGAGGATCAATGTATTGCCAGCTGTTAGTAAAGTGGAATGATTGTCCCCATCAAACTACTAATAGGAGTAAGCTGCAGAGCCTAGAAAGTGGTGGTTAGAGTAAGATTGTTGAAACTGCATTTATGGAGAGGTTTTGGTTATTGGTTATAATAAATAAATACTGTAGAAGTGAACGAGTAGTGGCTGGGCATGGTGGCTCATGCCTGTAATCCCAGCACTTTGGGAGGCTGAAGCAGGCAGATCACGAGGTCAAGAGATTGAGACCATCCTGGCCAACATGGTGAAACCCCATCTCTACTAAAA